CAGAAATGTAGAACTGGAAGATCATTTAATCCAGCCCATGCACTGAGGCAGGACCAAGTACACCTGGACAATCCCTGAGAGGTATTTGTCTAAGCTGTTCTTAAAAACTTCCAATGATGGGGATTCCACAACCTCCTTTGGAAGTGCATTCCAGCGCTTAACTACCCTTGCTCTTACAAGTTTTTCCCTAATACCTAACCTAAATCGCCCTTGCTGCAGATTGAGTATGATCTTTCAACCGGTTTTGAACGCTCACTTTATAATAATTTCATCGAGACCCCATTTCCCTATGAGAAGGGCATGTGGGACTGTGTCAAAGGATGTACTAAAATGAAGATACAGGAAATCTACTGCTTCTCTGTAATACTCTAGGCCAATCTCCTTGTCAAAGTAGGAAATCGGGTTGGTTTGGCATGATTTGTTCAGGACAAATCCATACTGACTATTCTTATAAAGCTTTTATTCTCCAGGTGTTTACAAAGAGAATGTTTAACAGTATGTTCCAGTCTCATTCCAGGTATCGAAGAAGAGGGATTAGCTACAAAAAGCAGAACCACACAACTCACCTGCGGAAGCTGAGATCACAATGAAGTAAATGGCACTAACAGCCTTAAAGGCCACATGTGGGAAGTACCAAAAATATTAAAGAAAAATGTATGCTTTGCCAGCCCTACACAAGGATTTTATAGTGTTTATCTCCCTGGTGGATTCTCTGATGATAAATAAGGTGTGACCCCTGATGGCAGCTTTTCCCACACTCACAGCATTCATAGGGTCTCTGTCTCCTGTGGATCCTCTGATGTCTCCTCAGGTCTGAGCAGTAAATGAAGCTTTTCCCGCACTCACAGCATTCATAGGGGCTTTCGCATGTGTGGGTTTTCTGGTGTCTAATAAGGTCTGAGCGCCGAGTGAAGTTTTTCCCACACTCACAGCATTCATAGGGTCTCTCTCCTGTGTGGATTCGCTCATGGTGAATAAGGTATGAGCGTTTACTGAAGTTTTTCCCACACTCTGGGCATATGTTTTTCCTCTTTCCCATGAGGATTCTCTGCTGGGCTGTGGTTTCCTGGAGGTCCTTGAGATTTTCCTCACAATTGATGGATTTGCCCATTTTCTCCCCTGGCTGGTTTCCCTGCTGCCTCTCCTCAGGACTCCTGGACATGTCCCCCTTCGTTCTTTGTGATACTTCCCAGTGCGGTTCCACATGCTCAGCCTCTTCCTGCTGTGGATTCTGCTCCCCGTTCTCACTCACCATCCCACCATCTCCTGCGACACAGAGAGAAACTGTAAGGTCTGAGACCTTTTTCTGCAGTCATATTAGGACAGCAGCAGCCAGAAGCTAAAAAGCAGGATGTCACATCCTCAAATTCCCTCTAAATTATATCAGAACAGTGCAATATCGGGCTGTTAAGAAGGTTCCTGTCGTAATAGCACCATCACCAGAAAAAGAAACAGATCATAAGAAATTTAAAGAGAACTTTGACAGCATTCTGCCTGGCAAGGAATCACCTAACAGATGTGGTTGTGAAATCTATACTTCTTTATTGTTTTGCCTTCATGGTCCCTACTTCTCTATTGTTTATCTGTCTGGTTCTTTGATCATTTCTGCCTGTTGCATAACTAACTTTGCAAGATTTAAATAAGCTCAGGTGGTGGGGTCTGATTGGGTAAAGAGTGGTTTCATAATGGGCTGGGATGGGTGAAAAATACTGCTTTGTAGGACTTTCATTTACAACGGCTGGTGACGGTAGAGTAAAGCAGGACTCAAGTTTCAGTATAACAACTGGGGTCCAAAAGGAATTTCTTGGGAACCAGCTCCAGGGCACAGCCCACGATCAGAGCTGCCAGACCTCAACCCCCTGCCAACTACGTCGTGCAGAAGCTGGAGAAGCCCCAGACAACCTGGTTCTGGCTGGCCACCAAGAAAAGTTTGTCTGATTATGGGGAGTGGTGAACATTGTATGCGTAGTGTGTGTATTCTGCTTAGGTAACTGTTAATAAATAGAAGTTAAGGATATTACTGTGTAAGGCTCTTTCACTAGTAAAAGACCCCGCAAACCTGCAGAAGATTATGCCCTGGGTGAGGATACTTAAATTAACCAGGTTACGCCCTGAGCCCATGGAAGGGTAAAGGTGGGATACTCTAGAGTGTGCAGGTAACAGAACCTGAACTAAAAGGGGAGAGGAAACCAGAGTAAGTACTGGAGAGTTGGGGAAATATCAGGAAATGAATTCCTCCAAGCTCTTCCCCAAAAGGGAGAGAGGAGGGGATCAGCTCTGTCTCCACATCCCATCCCATCGCTCAGGATGAAGGGAGGTTAGGAAGGGAGCTATTGCCACGAATCGCTCAGGATGGGAAGGAAGCCATAAGCGATATCTGCCCTGAGGACATGACACCTGCTGGGGAACAATCCGGAGCTCAAACTGCTCTCAAGGGCTTGGTAGGGAATCCCAGATGTTTTCTTCAGGCACAGACAGTATCTGAGTTGCTCTGATGACTCCTCACCAGGACAGGTTCCTCTCAGGATCTCTCTTTCCTCAGAGCCCTGGAGATCGGAGACCCACAGCTCTTCCCCTCGTTCCAGCTGGGACATCACCTCAGGCTTGGAAACTGGTAACCCTGCTCAGAGGAAAGAATCAAAGATGATCAGGTGAATTAATGGGACATTTGTCACAAAGAACATGGCCTTTTTTTTAATTAATGCTCATTTTAAAGCACTGAAATTCTGTGGCTAGCTCTCCAGGTGCTCTAAGGTGCCAGACACTCTGCCTATAAGGGGATTAACCGCTCTGCTGGCACACACACGACCAGACACTCCTGCTCAAAGGGGCTCCCAAAACCCAGGGAAAGTAACTCAACATCACGGAAAGCCAAGGGGAAATCACCTTGGAACTGCTTCCTACCGACAGAGACCCAAGGATAATGAGACAGTCAGGGAAATGGGCTGGTGGGGTTCAGCACAGTAAGGAAGGAGAGGGGATATCACTGCATGTGGTGTGTCAGGGGTGTTGGATATCAGGAGAGCACATGCTGAGGAGTTATGGAATATAGCGAGTCAGGTGTAATGGAAAGGAGTACGAAAATCCCCCAGTGTATGGAGATGGTTATAGAGTGACAGAGCCGCAGAAATGTAGGGATGGAAGGGACTTCAAGAGGTCATTTAATCCAGCCCATGCAATGAGGTCGGACCAAGTACACCTAGACCCCGTCCCTGAGAGGTATTTGTCTAAGCTGTTCTTAAAAACTTCCGATGATGGGGATTCCACAGCGTGCCTTGGAATCCTATTCCAGAGCTTAACTACCCTTGAGTTACAAGTTTTTCCCTAATATCTAACCTAAATCACCCTTGCCGCAGATTGAGTATGATCTTTCAACCAGTTCTGTGCCCATTTTATAATAATTTCATCTAGATCCCATTTCCTTAGTTTCCCTATGAGAATGGCACGTGGGACCATGTCAAAGGACGTACTAACATGAAGATATTGCAAAGCTGCAGGTTCTCTGTAATACCTTAAGCCAGGGGTAGTTAATTATTTTTTGTCAAGGTCCAAATATCTTGGTCAAGGGATAGTCAAGGTCCAGACTTGAAAGAAAACAATTAAAAAAAATATATATATATAATAAGTAGGGCTGTCGATTAATTGCAGTTAACTCACGATTAACTAAAAAAAAATGTCGTGATTAAAAAAATTAATCGTGAATAATTGCAGTTTTAATCACACTGTTAAACAATAGAATACTAATTGAAAATTTTAAAATAATTTGGGATTTTTTCTAATTTTCAAATATATTGATTTCAATTACAACACAGAATACAAAGTGTACACTTGTTATTTTCATTATAAATATTTGCACTGTAAAAATGATAAATAAAATAAATAGTATTTTTCAATTCACCTCATACAAGTACTGTAGTGCAATCTCTTTATCATAAGAGTGCCACTTACAAATGTAGGGTTTTTTGGTCATATAACTGTATTCAAAAACAAGACAATTTAAAATTTTAGAGCTTACACATCCATTCAGTCCTACTTCTTTCGAGCAGAACCCGTCATCAGCATGGACACGTCCTCTGGAATGGTGGTCGAAGCAGGAAGGAACCTATGAATCTTTAGTGCATCTGGCATGTAAATACCTTGTGACGCCGGCTACAACAGTGCCATGCAAATGCCTGTTCTCCCTTGCAGGTGACATTGTAAATAAGAAGTGGTCAGCATTATCTCCTGTAAATGTAAACAAACTTGTTTCTCTTAGCGATTGGCTGAGCAAGTGGGAGGACTGAGTGGACTTGTTGGCTCTAAAGTTTTATATTGTTTTATTTTTGAGTGCAGGTATTTTTTTTGTATATTATTCTACATTTGTAAGTTTAACTTTCATTGTAAAGAAATTGCACGACAGTATTTCTTTTTTACAGTGCAAATAATTGTAATCACAAATATAAAGTAAGCACTGTACACTTTGTATTCTGTGTTGTAATTGAAATCAATATATTTGAAAATATTGAAATCATCCAAAAACATTTAAATAAATGGTATTCTATTATTGTTTTACAGTGCGATTAACCGCAATTAATTTTTTTATCGCGTGATTAATGGTGATTAATTTTTTTAATCACTTGACAGCCCTAGTAATAAGAAAATTAAAAGATTTCAGGGTCCATTAAAAAGTGTCTGGTGGTCCGGATTTGGCCTGTGGTCCACCTACGGACTAACCCTGCCATAGGTCAATCTCCCTGTCAAAGCAGGAAATCAGGTTGGTTTGGCATGATTTGTTCTGGACAAATCCATACTGACTATTCCTTATAACGCAATTATCCTTCAGGTGCTTACAAACTGATTGTGTAATGACATGTTCCAGTATCTTCCCAGGTATACAAGTTAGGCTGACTGGTCTATAACTCCCCAGGTCTCCTTCGTACCGATCTTGAACAAGGGGAACAATGTTTGCCCTTCAGCAGTCCTCTGGGACCTCACCTGTCCTCCATGAGTTCTCAACGATACTTGCTAACGGTGCTGAGATTGCCTCAGCTAGTTCCTTAAGTATCTAGGATGAGGTTGGGGAATTAGATATGATTATAACTCAGTAGCAACAGATTAATTCCTCTGGAAAAGTAAGAATAAGACCATGGGATCTCAGCAGGG